CGGGGGCCTACAGCTAGTACCCTCACATTCACCTCGCTGTAAACATTCAATACAGGGACGAGGGCTGGATGTCAAGGGTGTTGAAAGAACCTTCAGCGTAACCGTATACTCGCGATCATTTGTGGGCGTGATCGAATGCAAAGAAACAACACAATGGCATTCCATGTACTATATTGACATTGTCAAGGCGCTGTTTGCTTTACCGACCCTCTTTTACTGTACCTCGAAGTAAAAACTCGACATGCCGTCGACAGGCAGAGAGTTTTAATACTTCTGGCAAGGCTCAAAAGAAGATGCATTTATATCAGATATGCCATACAACGGGTTTGTCAGTCTGCATGAACGTCAGATAGTTGTGATTATATGGACACTCTTACCATACCAAACAAATTCTATAGTGAATGTTTAAATGAGTTAAAGTTGGGTGTGGCGTAGGACAGAGGCAGTATCTAGCTAAAGTGTAAGTGCATGTTAATCTTCCATTGTAAACTAATAGTCACTGTGTTCTTTAATCTGATTGGTTGAAAAACATGATCGAATGGTATTCTATTCCCTGAAATTGCAAGACTATTCGCTGCGTATTGACACGTACAAATATCGCACACAATTTTACTGTTGCGTCGTCAGCAGTGGTGACGTCATTAAAACCATATTGTGACGTAAAGTCGGAATGACGTTACAAATGAGCAGTTCCAGATGCAACCAGGGAAGTGAGTGAGTGTATTTAGCTTTACGCCTCTTTTAGCAATATTCCAGCAATATCACGGTTGGGAACACCAGAAATGGGCGCTTCCATGGGAACCAGCCGACACGGCCGGCTGACGACACTTCGCTGTTGTACCCGTACAGGGGCACAAATGAGTGCAGACAGAAAAACGCAATGTTACAATGCCGATCAAGTAGCCTGAGGTTTCAAATTAATTATTCCCGTGTTTCAAATACTCAGTAACACCCAGAAACCGGCCAACACATGTTTATATCTCCTAAGTGTAACCAGCTTTATTACCCATATGGGGAAAAAGACACAGGGTAGTATTTTTCCTGTAAATACCTAGGGAGGTCACACCTTTTGGTAAACGTTGAATGGCTGTTTCAGAAACTATACGATTCATTGGTTAAAAACAATATGCCGGGACTCCTTCTTTCATCTTTTCAGTTCATTCACTGTTTTATACACCAACTCTCTTGTACACGAGGATATGATAAATAATTACTCCATAAACATTCAGTTTTGTTTATTTATAATACATCATTGTAAGCTCTTGGAAATGGCAGTTGTAGTAAAACCAAGAAAACCACAAGCTTGCAAAAGGTAATACAATACGTCTGCTATACATCATTTGAAGCCTAAGAAAGTCAATACTATTTTGACGTCACGCCTTTTGACGTCACGAACAATATGTTGCTCTATTGTCGATGTGAACAAACATGGCATCTTCCCTATCTCCAATAATAGTGAATGACAAAGTGAAAAATGATGGCAGCATATTAAGAAAAGTTGTAAATATTGTTCAGCCACTGACACATTCAACATTTGTTGTGAGGACTGAACAAAGTGGGATGTATGTTCCCAGCTGTGAGGACTGAACAAAGTGGGATGTATGTTCCCAGGTTTCGCATCCGTGTTGTGCCTGAGACTGTCACGTCTCGTCGCAAAAACGAACTACTCACACGCAAATTTGATAAAATACGTTTTTGTTTGCAATTCTTAATTAACAGTTCAAGCATTCAAGCACAGAAAATACTATTTATTACTATTTAAGAAACTATACAGTTCAGTTAGTTGAGAAAAAAGTTTTCTAAGAGACTATTTAGTCCCGCGTATTACACAGGTTTAAGATAGCGGTAATGCGATGAAATTCTTGGAAATGAAGCCGCATCACACGTAGGGATATGAGGATTCCTCACATCGCGGGTTTCCTGAGATATCAACTGCTGTTTTAGCGTATACTAGATCGAAAACTGACATCCATAATAAAAACAATAAACAACTTGTGACAGGGAATGTCAGATTATCTTTCCCTCGTTATATCAATTATATAACTCTGGAAAGATAAACTGTCATTCCCCGTCACTCGTTAGTTATTGTCTTATTATTATCCATATGGTGAAACATAAGCAGTGACGTTTATATCATATGTGCACCTGGGCACATATGTTGATTTGTTCTTGTTTTTTTGCATGCAATTCAAAATTTCTATGCTGAATGACAAAGTCAAAGGGAATTCCTTAAATGTCGATGATCTGAAGCCATTCCTTAAAGGTCACATGCAACCAAAAAAATCAAACATAATTAAAACACAATTATCACTTCTTCATGACATATAATATGCATTGCTGATTATGAAAAAACAAATAAACAAAATTATAAGCGCATAATCGCAAATCACAAGTGCAATATTTTGTACTTGGGTTTACCTCCCTCGAAACGAAGCAGCCGGGATACCGAACCCAGTCAGAGCGGGTGGGTGTGCACTCAAGTGTAACGGCTGGTTCATTAGCAGATGCCGTCTTCACGGGTCATTGTGTGTGTATATATAGAGATGTTGGGTTTTGTAAATACATGCTCATTTTTTTATGTATAACATTTTGCAATCAACAGACATCATAACATGTCATGTGTTCAAGTATCACACCTGCCTGTCTGTGTAATTACATAATGTGACTGAGACCGAACTCGGGCCATAAATCAATGCGTTTTGTTTATGGTGTATAGCCTGATTGGTGTTAAGTTCAAATTGCATGTGGTCAGTGATCGCAGTTGTGTATTGAATATTGTCATTAGCGGACAGGCAGGCAGACACACAGGTGTCAATAAAACAAGACATTGAGTTTTGTCTGTGACAGCGACATATCTATATCACAGTTAGAAATTGTGTCAACGCTAAATAATGACATTGCTTTTAAGTATCGAACTGAGAAAGTGACTCGGTAAGAAGACCGTGTGGTGAAATAGACAAATGAAATTATATAAACAGTTTATTTACTGTCATAACATATAAAAAGCTCGCGCCTGTGAGATATCAACAAAACATTAGAAAAATAGCTCACACCAAAGCCTTCACCGAGTATTCACCAGACAGCCCGCTTCCAAGTTGCGCGAACCTATTTCACTGCGCACGTGCTATGAGCACAGCCCAGCTGTTGAAACCCGTATTCCCCAGAAAAGTCTGGGGAAAAGTAGTGAAACGTTTGAACTCCGATTTCGCGCGGTTTTTTTTCATCGCGTTATTTTTCAACTTTATAAGTTGAATTTGCATTTTTTGACGATTTGTTTCGGTAAGTCAATACCGAAAGGTATCAGAATCTGCAAAGTTGTGTTTTACGTTGCATGTGACCTTTAATGATCACATAGTAAAAGAGCCCGCCCCATCTGTTTCATTATTCCATACAGGGATTAAGAGTGAAAAATTATCTCCACAAGCCTTGGTCACTTGAACGTTCCAGTAGTCAGCTTTCATTTATACCGACCAATAATCAATCAGCTTCAGCTTTTGGTGTCTCTCAATTCTTGAAGTAGATCGGGTTTGCAGCATTGAAGGCTTCGATAAAGTTCTGAGGACATTTCTAAATTTGACGCATCAAGTGACAAAATGGTATTCGATGCAATTTGGACTTTCCTGTGAAATCACCGGGATCGTCTCTGATAGTGGATTGCAATAACGTTTGTATGAAATCACCTAAACGTTCCCTGTGTAATACAATGTATTTCCGGCATGTTCCGCTTTAAATCTTCCTAGCATTTCAGCAACTGATAGGATATAAAATCGAGTTATACCCGGATTGTCGACAACAACAAATAATCCATCCAAACAACTTCCCTCGACAGTCCGGGGAAAGGTGTGTGTGTGTGTGTATGTGTGTGTGTGTGCGTGCGTGCGTGCGTGCGTGCGTGCGTGCGTGTGTTTTGTATGTATGTGTGTGTGTGATGTTCTACGTGAGTGACTTCACGCCCAGTGTTCTCGAAATTAACAAACCAATTAAAAACAGAGTGCGATATATATAGTAGACAATATATTTATTTAGTCAATATAACAACATGTATGTATCATATGTCACAGAATCTAACATATTTGTACACAATTCATAAATCTCACACAATATATTTGTATAGTACATAAGTCAAATAGGTAAGCAACATTTGAGAATTGCAATGATTCATAAAGTCCATTTCAGTAGTCTGAATGTTCAGCCAAGATGAAGCAACTCTGACACATTGTCTGTGTAGTTCAAGTCAGTATGTCTGTCGGCAAGACGGTCGGCCTTCAAGGATCGAATCCTAGCGTCGATGATTCAGTAGCGACGTCTACGAACGGGATCTCTCTGCTGTCCTTGGATCTGCTGAATTTTAACTTTAATAGCTGACTGTTTATTTTGCAGCATTCGCACAACCTCAGACACATTCAGATGTGTCTTTATGGCATACTTGTTGATTTTGTTGTGTCAACCTTCCAAATTATTGTTAGTTCTGTGTCCATCATTTTCAATATGATTCCAAGTTGGCAGAGTCCATGGACCTTGTATCCAGTTGGTAGTAACGTAATCTATCAGCTGTGTCGCCTTCAGTGGTGCGTCTGCAATGGAATGAAGCCAGACATGTTCAACTTTATCCAGTGGCACTAAAGGTAGAGCTGCAGCTCGACACACTAGTCTTTTCAGTATTGTTGTCTGACTTGTACTTGTACTAGTGGTGTTCCTGTGCTCAAAGCTCAGGTCACAAATCGGTGAAATTAAGCAGCGTCGAGCTCGGAGAGTCCTTGGATGGGTGACCGTGTTTGGCAGCTTGACTCCTGAGAGTTTCTAGGACTTGAGTCCTGCCCCACAACGAAGCACAGGTGACACATGTGGTCTCACCTTAGACAAGTGAGTTTGTTCAAAATTGTCCCTGTTCACCCAGCTGGAAAATGGGTACCCGGTGGAAAAAAGTCATATGACTATAACCTTCTAGCGCCTAACAGGCAGCTTGGGTTATCCGGGGTAATAATGTGCTGTGCCTTGATTGTTAGCGCTATGAGCATACCTAGTGTGGAGTTTAGCGCTATATAAATGGACACATTATTATTACTCTGGAGCAAAGCCTACTCTGCCATTTTGACGGTGGTAACAACATTTTCATGATCTATTATATATACCCAAATCCATGTTAAACTCCAAAATGGTAATTCTTCCACTCGCATAACGTAAAATAATAGCCTGTTTGCAATCTTAATTCTCTTACAAATTGTTAAAAAGACATTTTCTATAATTAATTTAATTCATTTACCCATGATACGAGCATAGCCACCATAGCCACTTGCAAATCACTAAGCAACCATTCAAATTAACACCGACACGGTATGTTGACCACGCGATGTCGACGCTCCGGGTTTTTTATTCTGTCGACGGTTAGCAACATCATATTTTTCATTTGTCGACAGATCGGGCCGACTCCATAAAATCCCAAGATAACACCGATAACAGCCTTCACGGGTGGCGCCTTCATAACACAACAATACAGCAACGGAGCAGCTCGCCGAATGGGTGTAGTCACCGGCGGTCAGAGATCATCCAGGTGTGGTCAGCTTCCATCCGGATTCTAGACATCGCACAAGTTATATGCATATAATGAACAGCATCAATCTATCCCAGCCAAAACTTTACTCATCAGTATGTGGGATGACCGTTGACTTCTCTTTAGTCATCATATTTGACAGTTGATTTTCGACATAAACATTATCCACTGATGGGTCCCTCCCACTTTTATCCACGGGCCTACCCGGGGAGTTGGCCTGTCACGTGAGGTACGTTCCCCTACCAGCTATTGTTAATCACACGCCTCCTTAGCCCTGTTATTGAGATCCTTGCTCAGCCACTAGGAGTACCCTGCAGAACAGGTATATATACACCTGAAACACCTTAGTCAACGTAAGATACCCTAGCTGGTCTAGGGTGGCCGCTCCAAGAGAACGAAGTATACACCACAAGTGTCATCACAGCAGGGCTCTCAGAATGGATCCTCACTGGATCGCGACTCTGGTTTCCTTGTCGCTGGTTGCCGGGCAGCCTCAAGGTAAGACTGATCATTCTGAACGTTTCAGGTGAAATGACAGAGTTGTCCATACGCAAGGTCATAAAAAAGTAACTCTAAATAGCAGAATGAAATGGTCAGGTCTTTTTTCAGTAGTTGGCAAGGATGAGGAAACAGAATCGGAATAATCCCATTATTTACCATCCGGGTTTTATCTATCTCTCACAATATTTGGTTTCCAAGTCTGTGCACCACTATCCCACACAACAATATGTGAAAATTGAAAGCGAATGCTACCTGGAGTATACACAGGAAACAATAAACCATATGCTGAAAGTCCTTAATGATAACATATCTCTAACATTGAGGTAAGAGACGTTGAGGTAAGAGACGTTGAGGTTCCAACGGACGCCATCGTGCTCCCCTGCTTGCAGATCTTTAACCACAAAAATCGACATTTCTGATATGCTAAGTCAGAACGAGGTAATATTGACAAGAAGTTTAACTTAAGCTTCGGGAATGACGATAATCTGATATAACGGTATCGTTTAATACCGATAACGATTCCACTCTACTAATCTATCCACCAGAACTAGGAAAATGGGTAAATACATCTGAGCTTAAAGGTGTGAAGTCACAAAAGGCGCTCATGAACACTATGATAAGAGGGATTTCAAGAACCATATCCCCTTTTATGTGTAGCAATATTACAATTTTTAGGATTGACTGACGGGATCATGACTTCACACTAGAGGAGTACACAAGGGTTGACTGACGGGATCATGACTTCACACTAGAGGAGTGCACAACTATTGACTGACGGGATCATGACTTCACATTAGAGGAGTGCACAACTATTGACTGACGGGATCATGACTTCACACTAGAGGAGTACACAAAGAATGACTGACGGGATCATGACTTCACACTAGAGGAGTACACAACTATTGACTGACGGGATCATGACTTCACACTAGAGGAGTACACAAGGATTGACTGACGGGATCATGACTTCACACTAGAGGAGTACACAAGGGTTGACTGACGGGATCATGACTTCACACTAGAGGAGTACACAACTATTGACTGACGGGATCATGACTTCATACTAGAGGAGTACACAAGGATTGACTGACGGGATCATGACTTCACACAAGAGGAGTACACAAGGGTTGACTGACGGGATCATGACTTCACACTAGAGGAGTACACAAGGATTGACTGACGGGATCATGACTCACACTAGAGGAGTACACAACTATTGACTGACGGGATCATGACTTCACACTAGAGGAGTACACAACTATTGACTGACGGGATCATGACTTCACACTAGAGGAGTACACAAGGGTTGACTGACGGGATCATTACTCACACTAGAGGAGTACACAACTATTGACTGACGGGATCATGACTCACACTAGAGGAGTACACAACTATTGACTGACGGGATCATGACTCACACTAGAGGAGTACACAACTATTGACTGAGGGGATCATTACTCACACTAGAGGAGTACACAACTATTGACTGACGGGATCATGACTTCACACTAGAGGAGTACACAACTATTGACTGACGGGATCATGACTTCACACTAGAGGAGTACACAACTATTGACTGAGGGATCATGACTTCACACTAGAGGAGTACACAACTATTGACTGACGGGATCATGACTTCACACTAGAGGAGTACACAACTATTGACTGAGGGATCATTACTCACACTAGAGGAGTACACAACTATTGACTGACGGGATCATGACTTCACACTAATGGAGTGCACAACTAGTGACTGACGGGATCATGACTTCACGCTAGAGGAGTACACAGCTATTGACTGACGGGATCATGACTTCACACTAGAGGAGTACACAAGGATTGACTGACGGGATCATGACTTCACACTAGAGGAGTACACAACTATTGACTGACGGGATCATGACTTCACACTAATGGAGTGCACAACTAGTGACTGACGGGATCATGACTTCACGCTAGAGGAGTACACAGCTATTGACTGACGGGATCATGACTTCACACTAGAGGAGTACACAAGGATTGACTGACGGATCATCATGACTTCACACTAGAGGAGTACACAACTATTGACTGACGGATCATGACTCACACTAGAGGAGTACACAACTATTGACTGACGGGATCATGACTTCACACTAGAGGAGTACACAACTATTGACTGACGGGATCACGACTCACACTAGGGGAGTACACAACTATTGACTGACGGGATCATGACTTCACACTAATGGAGTGCACAACTATTGACTGACGGGATCATGACTTCACACTAGAGGAGTACACAACTATTGACTGACGGGATCACGACTCACACTAGAGGAGTACACAACTATTGACTGACGGGATCATGACTTCACACTAATGGAGTGCACAAGGGTTGACTGACGGGATCATGACTCACACTAGAGGAGTACACAACTATTGACTGACGGGATCATGACTTCACACTAGAGGAGTACACAACTATTGACTGACGGGATCATGACTTCACACTAGAGGAGTACACAAGGATTGACTGACGGGATCATGACTTCACACTAGAGGAGTGCACAAGGGTTGACTGACGGGATCATGACTTCACACTAGAGGAGTACACAACTATTGACTGACGGGATCATGACTTCATACTAGAGGAGTACACAAGGATTGACTGACGGGATCATGACTTCACACTAGAGGAGTACACAAGGGTTGACTGACGGGATCATGACTTCACACTAGAGGAGTACACAAGGATTGACTGACGGGATCATGACTCACACTAGAGGAGTACACAACTATTGACTGACGGGATCATGACTTCACACTAGAGGAGTACACAACTATTGACTGACGGGATCATGACTTCACACTAGAGGAGTACACAAGGGTTGACTGACGGGATCATTACTCACACTAGAGGAGTACACAACTATTGACTGACGGGATCATGACTCACACTAGAGGAGTACACAACTATTGACTGACGGGATCATGACTCACACTAGAGGAGTACACAACTATTGACTGAGGGGATCATTACTCACACTAGAGGAGTACACAACTATTGACTGACGGGATCATGACTTCACACTAGAGGAGTACACAACTATTGACTGACGGGATCATGACTTCACACTAGAGGAGTACACAACTATTGACTGAGGGGATCATGACTTCACACTAGAGGAGTACACAACTATTGACTGACGGGATCATGACTTCACACTAGAGGAGTACACAACTATTGACTGAGGGGATCATTACTCACACTAGAGGAGTACACAACTATTGACTGACGGGATCATGACTTCACACTAATGGAGTGCACAACTAGTGACTGACGGGATCATGACTTCACGCTAGAGGAGTACACAGCTATTGACTGACGGGATCATGACTTCACACTAGAGGAGTACACAAGGATTGACTGACGGGATCATGACTTCACACTAGAGGAGTACACAACTATTGACTGACGGGATCATGACTTCACACTAATGGAGTGCACAACTAGTGACTGACGGGATCATGACTTCACGCTAGAGGAGTACACAGCTATTGACTGACGGGATCATGACTTCACACTAGAGGAGTACACAAGGATTGACTGACGGGATCATGACTTCACACTAGAGGAGTACACAACTATTGACTGACGGGATCATGACTCACACTAGAGGAGTACACAACTATTGACTGACGGGATCATGACTTCACACTAGAGGAGTACACAACTATTGACTGACGGGATCACGACTCACACTAGGGGAGTACACAACTATTGACTGACGGGATCATGACTTCACACTAATGGAGTGCACAACTATTGACTGACGGGATCATGACTTCACACTAGAGGAGTACACAACTATTGACTGACGGGATCACGACTCACACTAGAGGAGTACACAACTATTGACTGACGGGATCATGACTTCACACTAATGGAGTGCACAAGGGTTGACTGACGGGATCATGACTCACACTAGAGGAGTACACAACTATTGACTGACGGGATCATGACTTCACACTAGAGGAGTACACAACTATTGACTGACGGGATTATGACTTCACACTAGAGGAGTACAAAACTATTGACTGACGGGCTGCTGTAACATGTTTCATTGCAGAGTAGAATTATCGCGTCCCGCCTACGTTGGCTTATATATTATATAAAATCGTATCCGTGCTTTGTTCACCGGTATCACCTTCTCGCTGACACAGTTATTACAACGTCGAATCTGCCTTGTTTTCACTAAGAATAGTAATGTGGGGAGTTCTCTCCAATGTGTGTGTCGACGAAAGGCTCAGGGACTGCGTGTCATGATAACTCGTGAAATCGTTGTACAGCAGAAACGCGCCGGTAGGAATATTTTAATGTAGCATGCGTGCTTATAACTGTAACGTAATCAATAACTAAAATTGCACGGCCATGTGAACGTGTAGAGTATATATACATTAGCACAATCGCCTGGGTCAATCTTTAGAAGTCGAATATCTCTGGAAACAGTTTACAAGATAATCTCACGTGTCATGTTGTCCTAACAAACATATAGATTAAATGATCAATGATATACTATGATGCAGTAGCAGGAAACATCCAACAACAGCATGGTGTGAAGCGCCACATACACAAGATAAACGTGAAGTTGCTTCTTTTTCAGAAAAGATACAAAAGTTGATTGTGTACTGTACAACAACTGTATGAACGTGTAGATATATAGTTTATGGGAAGAATAATGTTTCCTGACATTTGACTAAAAATTCCAACTATAAGTATTCTCCTAAAGGTTCTTGGTGTGTTTGCTTCCTGGGAGAAATTCCATTTGTCGTCAGTGCTGCAGGTTGAGACGGCAAGGTAACCTATATAATGTCATCAACCAGCATGATTGCCAGGGCCATCCATCCTCTCTCTGCTGACGTATATCTTAATCTGTAAAACATAATAATGATATAAGATATAAACAGGACAAAATGTCCCGTGAACATCATGGTTAGAATGGATAGTCATCAAC